TTATTTTGATATATCACAGTGAAAGATTTATCGTCCTCTTTTTTTTTTTTTTTTTTTTTTTTTTTAAAAAAAAAAAAAAAAAAAAAAAAAAACCAGCCATGGCAATCAGTAATAACCAGCTAATAATTATCTATATCTTGAGCATTTCATTTCAAAGAAATGAGTCCTCACGGATGACCTCAGTTTATTTTTATTACAGAACAGGAAATCCTGTCTTAATAGTAGAAATAACAGTTGAGATGTCTTAGGTAGAGAGCTGTACTTTAATATTGCGACTTTATAGAACTTACTATCATAGAAGAAGCCTTACTTGCCTGGTCCTTTGTTCAGGGGAAACTTCTGAAAGACATGCTGCCCTTTACGAAGTACTCGGCCATTTCCTTGACAACTCTGTTCACCGACTCCTGCTGCAGGACCCTGCTGGCTGGGAATGTGGGTAAGTCCTTGTTCCTACAGATTAAGCCACATCTCAACAATCTAGATGACATAAAAACAGCTTCAAGAAATACACAAGACATTTACAGGGACAAATGAAAGTCTCTGAGTGGTATGCTCAAAGTGACACAGTTATAGAAGTTAGGGGAATAAATGTCAGGAGAATCTCCTCTCTCTCTCTCTCTCTCTCTCTCTCTCTCTCTCTGTGTGTCTGTCTGTCTGTCTGTGTATATGTTGTTGTTTGTTGTTATTTGTTACAAAGCTCTAAACAAAAGGCAGCAGGATGGGATAGGGTAACCTAGCGAACCATTTCCGTTTGTAGCTTCTGCCCTTCCTCCACCCTCCCATCCTCCTGGCCTCCATTCTGAGTGCTAGGTGTTCTTTTGCATGGACGATCTTTGAATGCAAGTGGAAAGAGTCATCCATGGATTGATCTTTCACCTTACTTAAGTGTTGTTCTAGACAGCTTGAGAACTTAACTTGGACCCTTAAGAACCCGCTGGATTCTTAGAGAGATTGGACTCAGCTGTAAAATGGTCCCTGGCATGTCCTGGGGTGTCAGCCACTGCCCAGTGGCTGCATATTCCTGGAGCCAAGTCTCTACCCTTGGGCAGTTTCACCTGCCCCACCATCCCAGTCGTGCGGGATAGGCACTTGGCAGCGGAAACACTTCTGCCATGCTGGCGCACTCTGGCTCAAGGTGGACCAAGGAGCACCTTAGCTCTTTAGCCCTGACTGGCTTGGAACTTGTGATGATTCCCTTGCTTCTGCCTCCTGTGTGCTAGAATTATAGGACTACACTACTGCCTGGACCCTATTCTCTTCATTGAACATTGCATTCTATTTCTTCTGTCTTTAAAGTGAGCTACCCACAACCTTGCTTTAGTTTATGGGAAATAAGGTGAAAGTTTAATTTGTAATCTTGAAAGAGTTATGTTCCATTAGGCTCTGTGATGAAAAAGAGGTGTGACCATATACTAGAGAAGAAGGGGTTATTATCTATGGGAAACTTTATTTTATATTTGATGGTCTTGATAAAATTGACCTTAATATTTCCATCAAACTGCTGACAACAAAAACACAATTCTCACTTTAAAGAGAATAGAGATAGTTTGTTCTGGAGCCAAATATGAGAGCATCATATGGATTGAGGTTAACCCAAATACCATGTCCTAATGGGGTAGCAGTTTAATGAAGTTTCACAGTAACAGAAAAGAGAAAATCATGAATCAAGCATTTTCAAAGACATTGGTAAAAACATTAGAGGTATATTACAGCAAAGTAAGGAGCTCATTATAAGTCTCATTCTTAGCTCTGGTACTAGAGGAAGCTTGGAATCTGTCTAGACATTCCAAAAAGATTTACCTAATAGTCACAAGGATGCTAGGTCATACATAGAGTTGAGCAGTGATGGCTATTTAGGGGGTTAACAGCCTAGGGTTATTAGGCTCTGAACCTCTCACATTCCAGCTTTCCACACTACAGAAATTTGAATCATTCATCCAGCCATAGAATGTTTAAATAGGTGTGCTGTTTTTCTGAGAACATCAGTTCACATAGTATTGCTTTCACATTTTGGGATTTGTCTTACAAAGTCCACCCATCATTTTATGCAGTCAACTATTTAAGCCTTTCACACATTATTGAAAACATTTAGATTTCTGTCAGTATTATTGGTATATTTGAAACATTTAATGTAATCTCTATTTCAACTCTTTTATCTGCTTTCATTCCCCACCACCAATTTTTTATGTTCTGGTATGCTTATCTTTAACTTATTATTCTCATGCATCTGTAAATCTCTGTGATTTCTGTAGCAGACTAGTAGGGAAATCTAAATTCAGACCAACTGTGTTTGTCTTTTATAGTAGACTTCAATGACTGCCATGCTGCCCCTGAGTTCCATCTGGCCACTTGGGCAGCAGAATGCCCTCAATGGCTTTGGGCTGCTATGAAAGCCTTTTCTTTTTTCTCTTAAAAAAATTTAATAGTTTTTAAAAATTGATTCTCCAAGAATTTCATACAATGCATTTTGAGCATATCCAGACCTCTTCCCTTATCTCCACCCTCACCCTACCATGCCCCTTCTTCCAAAAGTCATGTCCTCTCTTACTATTTTTCTTTTTAAAAGATCTATAAAGCCTAATCTGTGTTCCCAAAATGACCTTGGGTCTCTCTTGGAGTGGTTAACCTACGAGGTGTCACACCCTTAAAGAAAACTGACTCTCCCTCTCCCAGCAGCTATCAACTGCTAATAATCAGCTAGGGTTGGGGCTTTTCTGTCCACCTCCACCATCCATATTGGGCCCCCATCTGGCTTGTACTTAAGCAGGTCTTTTGCACACAGTCACAAGAGCTGTGGGTTCATATGTACACCACTCTGTGGTGTCCAGACAACATAGTTTCCTTATATTCATCTACCCATCTTCTGAGACTTGTAACTTTTGCCTGCAATTCAGAAAAATAGAAGAGACATGGGCTTGAGATCCAGCTTCATTTATATTATAGCATGTAAGTAAAGCCACTTCTACATTCTGGCCCTAGACTCCCTTTTTGTGTGTCTGGGTAGATATTCAAAGGAATTTGGAAGCTTAAAGTATTGGTGCCATGAGTAATCCCGGCATTTGGGAGGCTGATAAAGAATGATAGTGAGTTCAAGGTTATCCAGGGCTATTTAACAAAGATGGTGTCAAG